CATTATTAGTATTGAATAAGTAAAAATTGTTATACTTCATATTTTTCTATTAGCTTTTAATTATAAGAAATTATGGCTTACTAAGGAGAAGGAGTCTTGTTACAACAAGGAGTGGAGCATGGGAACAAAAAATGTCCTGACAATGGTAGCTTTATCATTAACTAGACACTACCATTTGTTTTTTTAAATGTGATAAAAAATGTTTAATTTGTAAACTACTACTAGATAAGTGTCAACAATTATTGGACATTTTTTTTGTCATTTTGGCCAATCTTCTTAACTTAACCAACCCCTCTTCCTCAAATAAAATTGTTGCTGTTATTTTAATTCCTACTTTTAGTTATTTTTTTAGTTTAAGCTAAATAATTAATTTTTTTAATTTATTTAATAAAGCAATTGTTTTAAAAAATATTTTATACGTCTTTCGGGATGTTCATAACTGATTTACAAATCGACCACACGTGCAGAAGATGTGTGTAAATGGACGAAGGACGTTGGTGGTTTTGGCAAACACTTCTCGTTGCACGAGGCGACAAATAGCTGTTATGCTTGTAAGAAAAAATTATATAATAAAAGTAACAAAAACTTTTATTTAAATGGCTGCGACGAGTGACAATGCATTTTTAATAAAACGGTCAACGCACGAAAATGATTATTTTCGACTCATTTTGGCGATGATAAATATGAAATCTTTTTTGTTTTTAGAGTGCACATTGTTGCATGAGTATGACACATGTGTTCAATGAGAAGATATAAAACCGTGCAGTATAATTCCTATTTTGCATATAAATAATATTTATAATATTATATTGTATTCCGTTAAATTTTTAAATTGAGTATAAAATACTAAAAATGTTGACTGGTCGATTACCAGTTTTGGTCAGCTATTTATAAAGTTATAAGAGTTTAAAAGTTATGATGAGAGGGGAAGTGCGCGCAAATAAAAATATTCGACCTTTCCGCCTACCCTAAACTTGAAACTTCAATAACTTCAAAAATAGTTATCCAAAACTGGTTATCGACCAGTAATAATAGTCAGCAAGTTATTCTTAATGTCAAAATTAAATTAAATGTATACGTTACCATATAAATTAAAAAAATATATAGAGCTCCGGTGACCAAGTAATAAAGATAAACATTTGAATATTGACTATTATTGTAAAATAACACAAACTAAAGAAAAGGTGCAATTATTTTAAGGCAAAATTAATGGCTTATCCATATTGAATCACCCTGCATGTATGATGTAAAAGAGGCAAAAGCGCCGGAAGTAGGTTGTGACCAAATTTTTCAGGTTAATCGGCCACAGAGTGCGCATAATACTGTTTCAAACTCGACCGGAAATTTTAGTCTAAGATGACTTTTTGCATTATTTATCATACATCATGCGTATACAGTATCCTACAGTATATGCACTATGCAGTCAAAATTATGCATATATTTTTCAACCATAATATTGTAATATCGGACAAAGCGATTGGTTATTTAGAAACCGAGTTTAATACGAATCCCTCGGTCGGGTTAAGTAACGATCTTGACCCAAAAAGACAAACCACCGAAATCAGTATGCATACAAAATCAGCCAAACGGGTTGGTCGTCTTGTTTTCAACTACGGCTCGGTCATTAAACTTATTCATGTATATATATATACATTTTAATTACTATTACTTTAATAGGGCCGTGTTCACCGAACGTATTCGGCTAACTTAACCATAATTAATTATCGAAACGGGAAAATAATAGTGTGCAAAACAAACGTCGCTTTAATTATTATGTCAACGAGTAGTGCCCGATTGTCAATTCAGTTTACTCGGATAAATAATTTTAAAAAATATAGTGTACCGCGCACAATTCAACTGCAACGTAATAGTGTCAAAGTATATAATATTATTTTGGATGACGGAGTCGCAGAAAAGTATATTAATACAGTCAAATATTAATGTAATGATTATTTTTAGAAATCATCCGGCAATTCGCGATGCGTTGACTGGCCATAAAAAAAAAATCTCGTTGCGTCATCCATCAACGTGGGTAAAATTGTTTAAATGTTAACAATAAAAAATATAATAATAATAATAATAACGTACAACACATACATACATTTTCATAATTTGGAACCGAATCATGACTACTTATAATTATTTAATAACAACGTTAATAATTATCGATGGTTCGCAATCATTGTAGTCTACATAAGAAAGCCTTATGTAGACTTATCTAGAATCTTTTTTATTTAGACCATAAAGCCTTATAGATAGTTAATTTGTTTTATTCAATTGTAAATAATTGTTACAATATAAATCAAACGACATTATCGAGTAGCACTACTCATTTTTTTCCAGTATTTATAATTTAAAAATAATGTAGTATAGTTCTTAAAGACCAATGTATGTAAAGTTATAAGTACAACTTATTACAAAAACTGCCTACGCGAAACTGTTTCAAACAAGCGGATGCAACATCGTCGCTTAATATGGAACAATTTGCATACTTGATTTGTTTAATTGTGAAAACTGGACTTTTCAAACAAACCAGTAGAATTTTAAAATTAACTATTCAGTATTTAATGTATTTTATTATATTATTACAATAGATTAATTAAGAAGATTAAATAGATTATCTCGAGAAGACACTACACCTCCGTAATGATTTATGCGGTAAAAACTAGCCAACTTTTAAACTGCTCTATTTAATTTATAATCGTTGCAAGTTTATACAATTTTGACATGACTCATGTTCGCCATGACTCATAGGTTTTTGTTGGCATGGTTTAAATATGAACAATGGTGTGGTAGGCACACGTACATTTATCCTGGGGAGTGTATATTCTCTTTGAATAAGGTCAGGGATGTCAGGGCTCATAACATTAGGCCTTAGAGGGCGAACATTTGCCTGTGGTCAATTGTAATGTACAAAAAGGCATACAATAATGAATAATTTGGGTTACATCCGTTTTGCGCAAATTTACTCAAAAGACCACGCATGCGCACTGAATTGGAACAATATATAGACACTCCATTAGTATGTCAATTATTTAGTTGTGTGTACACATTTTCATATAGACCTAACAATTACATATTGTTAATTTTAATAATCGACTTGGGTTAGAGCTTTAAAATATTATACACATAAAATTCATATATTTTCCTACACCTTCAAAAGACTTGGAGAACTTTCTGTTCGGCATAATTATTATTATGCCATGACTCGTAGACAAAAAAAAGGTTTGAAAATAGCGCTTTTTTACAATAGTTGCACAACAGTTATACATTTTAAAAAAAGGCAAAAAAAAATTAAATTATATTTAATCGTGTATTATACAGTTTTAGTGGTTTACACGAGTTTTTTGTAAAGAAGTAAAAATATCAAATCATGTGATTATGTGTTTTCTCAGATATAAAATCACACAACGTTCTGCTCTCCGCGTCCGTTATTGTCATGCAGACTTTATTATAAGGTTGAGTATAAAATTTAAAATGTGCATTCGAGTTAACGAATGCGTGCAGTTGAGAAATAAGTGGCTATATCTATTAGTAGAACATTATCATATTATAAAATATAAGTCTAATTTTAGTTTTTATCTTAAGCAATCTGGAACGTTTTTAGTTAAACCATAAATTTGCTTTCTTTCAAGGAAGTGGACTATATAATTTGTTTTTTCTTTCTTTTGGACTCTGAACAGTTTTTTTTTTTTAACTATATCTTTTTAATTTCTGTTGTAGGAGGTAGGAGTGCCAATTTATAAACTACTATAATAATTAATAGTATAATGACTTAATTAATCTTTCAGAGAACCCCACGTCCGTTATTTTAAGCATAAAACTAGCTATTTTTTTTAATGTCCTATTTTGTATATAGTTGACACTACATTTCAGGAGTCCGAGTCTAATTGGCAAGACCAACCGCTAATCTGGCAAACAACGATTCTCCCACGAGTCGGCTTACAAATCCTTATAATAAAACCTATTATGTGGTGCTTATTTAAGCGCGTTGTTACACAACTAACTACGGGTAATAGCTGATAAACGAGTGTATTATTTCAGGGAACATAGGTCCAGTCCCCAAATCAAAATATACCGGATGGTCCATTTAACCTAATACTCAGGTACAGTGGCAGTGCAGTTATTGTTAACACATTGATTTATTATAAATAATCGTAGTATGTAATTAGTAAAACAAGCACAATTTCAATAAAAAAAAGTGTAGTGTTCTTAAGCTGTGCGTTTTCTAGGTATTTTAATTTAAATTATAATTAATGAGGTTAGATAATGTTTCTTTTTAACAAGGATGTTGTATAACAATTTAACACTTTAGTTTATAAATGTTTTAATATTTTTATGACAAAAAATAATACAAATTAATACGATGTTACTATTTACAGATATTTTATTTTTTAGGAGCAAAATATGTGTCTATAACTGTTTTTAAGTTAATTATATTTGTCATATATTTTTCTATACATCATATATGTATAATATTTGCAAAATATGGAAAATATGTCCTGACCCATTGAAACCCTAAGCCGTCTTAGCATTTCTTAAAGCAGTAAACAAACGTTCACAAGATACAGAACTTATGGAAAGCGTGACAACCATTTGAAATTGATTAAGGATACTGAATTTTATCAAATCTGCAAAAAAAATTGGTTTTTTTTTTATATTAAACATTTTTATAAGCAGAGGTTTTTTAATACATAAACACGAAAAATATAGGGTACTTTTTAAAATTAGGGGTGCTAATACCCCCTGAGCGGGGTGTAATTAGGACTTAGGGGAGGCTTAATTGCGCTCATGATGTAATATGTAATGTAACGTAATGTGTAATAAGTAATGCGTATGTGGCAAACGGTTTTTTTGTTTTGTTTTATACGTCTCAAGCGACAAGCGGTCGTCATCAAAAAACATTAGTAGGTCGCGATCAGTGATCACTATCTTGGTAAATCGACTCTTTGACCTTATCAGTTATCAGGTCTTATCGCAGACCAACACGCGTTGAAAGGTTATGTTTCGGGTGAACAGTGTAAACGGGACGTGTACGACGACGACAGCTGCAGCTGCGGCCGCTACCTAGGGCCGAGTGTAAACAAAAATCGTTGTCGCTTCATAATATTATTATTATATGACTAACGCGAGGCGGGCGGCGTATAATCAATTATTATCACTACTTCGACTGTAGCTGCTGGTGTAATATTATTATTATTATAGGTAGTATTCGTAAAACAAAAACAATAACAACACCGTTAAGATTTATCTACAATATTTTCGGCGTAGCACCTATAACTTGGATTCGCATTGTAATATCATTATTACTATACGGTATACCGACTTGTTGTTTCTCATCGATTTTCATTCGCAAGTGCATCCGGCAACCGGCGGTGAAAGTACTTGATAAAAACGCGCATCAAACGGCAATCCGCAATGCGTATCATCTTCATGGACGTCGAACACCTTCGGCCACCGCTGTCGTCGGTCCTATTGAATTGCTATTGAAAAAAACTATGCGATGCCCGCCGAATAATAATTGAGATACATTGCACCATGTCCGTCGTATCGCTCTCTACCGCATAGTAGGCGCTGCCGCGAAAATGGATTATGGATGCCAACGACACGGGTGCGACAAGCTTAAGGACCAGTCGGCTGCGGGGCAACCGCTGACGAGATCGTTGGAGAAACTGTTTGAAAACGCTCACATGTGCGGCGAACTGAAATTGTGCGGACGCAGACTAAAAAGTTTCCCGGCCCCGTCGAAATATGACGTGTCCGACACGATTATCGCAGGTGATTACGTCGACTGCCATTGCCGTGGGACGTAAACAATAACCGCTTTTGTCTTGTCATTTCAGATCTCTCGAAAAACTGTTTCGCCAGTCTTCCGACCGAAGTCTACAATTTCTGGTCACTGGAATCTCTTAGCATGCACAACAACGTGATTCGATCGATACCCAGTACAATCACGACACTCCAATCATTAACGTATCTTGATCTCAGGTGAGCGAGCGTTTAAACGACTTTTCCTGAGTACTAGTGTTTCGGTAGAACACAGGTGTAAAATGTTGCATACATAGGTGTTATGCCGTAACCTATCTGACTCAGACTCCTGTTTTACATTAGGTATATAATTGCAATAATGTATTATTATTTTTCAGTCGGAATTACTTGAACTCTTTACCACCGACCATATTCCAGTTACCTCTTGAAATACTATTGTTGTCGAAAAATAAACTCAAACAGTTGCCTTCCGAAATTGGATTCTGCAAAACTCTTCTGGAGCTCGATGTAAGCTCCAACGCGCTTACTAATTTACCGTCACAACTGGGACAACTGCTATCATTGAAATGTTTAAACGCGCAAAACAATTTACTCATAGAGTTACCATTAGGTACGTAAAAATGTATTTATGATTTGTACACATATTTTAATAGATTTAAATTAGAATTTCTATTGAAGGTATTCATTATTTGCATACAGTGAGAAATATTTCACAACAGTGACAACAATTCACTGATTTACCCTTCTTGTTAGTTAGGTAAACCGTTTTTGAAAACAATTTTGTATTAAATAAAATATTATTATTGAAATAATAAGTTGTGTTTGAACATCATTTTGAACTCAATATCATTATAAATTTTCGTATAATATTTTTATAACGAGTCAATAACAAACAACATTTTTTAAACACGTAGATCAAAGAAAAATGTGGTTTTAGTGCAATTTTAGTCATTTATTCTTTAAATAACAAAAATTTGAGCCAGTGGTAGATAGACAAGTTTAAATAAATAATGACTGTCTCCATAAGTTATTACCGACATATTTTATCACTATTAAATTATACTCTGTACTTAGATTCTTTGATAAACTGTAACTACTATTGATATTATTTGTAAAAAAAAAAAAAACCTTAATATTGTGATTTATCGCTAACCATCTATACTATTTACTAATTTACTCTGTGTCTCCTGAAGTAAGCTTAAAATTCCAGTATACTACTTATACCGACTGTATAAAAAGTTAAAGTAAGTGTTTAATGATTTTTAAATTTTTTTAATTTAGTAAAATAACAAATTAATACAACCATAGATTCAGTAAACATTTTTTATACCTGTATACTACCTTTTATCTCACACTTTTTGGTTTTGTTTTTTTCTTTTCAGAAATAACCTATTTAAAATTAGTGAAACTAACAGTCAGTCATAACAGAATAGCGTCTTTACCTGTCGAACTGAGGTTAATGTCCAGTTTGGAAAGTTTTGATGTAGCCAATAACCCGTTGGTGTCTCCTCCGTGTGATGTATGTACTAGTTCCAATTGATACAAATTTACTATCAAAAATTCTGGTCCTACTAATACTATTAACAATTCTGTAATATGTATATAAATATTGTTATTTTTTTTGTCGCAGGTGTGTACTAGAGGGCGTGTGTACATATTTAAGTGGCTAGAAATGAAAAGCGTCAAGGATGGTCGTAATCGAGGAATGTCTTCATGGAAGTTCAGTTCTGTCAAGAATAGTCATCATAGTCTGGATAGTAATATGGACAGTTTGACATTGTCAGAGCCGGCCAGCCTAGTACATTCTTCTGACGAGGTTAATAATAATAAAGTGTTTAAAACTCCCACACTTTTTGTACGCAGCAAAAATCATTTAATAGCTTGTATCGTATTTCTAGGGTGCTAATGGAAGTATAGAATACATTAATAAGTTGGATAAGAAAAATGGAGAGACAAATGGTCACAATAGTTACAACGCTAGGTAGTATTAAATATATATATATGTAGACAACAATAATAATAATGGCCTATTAATTTACTTGCAGTCCTGAATTTTTACGAGCTAACAAAAGTAATGGTGGAACAACATCGAACTTGATAAACAAATTTATCAACGGTAACAATAGTAACGGCGTAGTCGGTGGTAGTAACAAACAAAACGACAAGCCTGCCATGCACACACAAAGTTACAAGTAAGTAATATGGGCTTATAAAGTAACTATAATAACCATTAAATGGATTTTATGAATTTGTTGTCCTTGTCCTCCCTTAGAGAGTACAAAGAGTTCCTTAAGCAGCAACGAACCCAAGACAGTATTTATAAGGGTAAAATACAAAACAATGATCAAAAGAGTAGTAATATCATCGATCAAAAAGTCAACATCAACAATAACTTACAAGAAGTCCGTCCATACATCAAACCTACCCCACCGGATATCATACCCACCTCTGTGAACAATTTTAACTTGTCAACAGTGCCGCCGTCATATCAGCGGCCGCCCATGAAAGTCTGGTCCAAAGACAACGTGGCCAAGAGTAAATTACAATTCACCATGAAACGCGAATACGAGAAAGCCAAAGAAGAAGCTGAACTAGTGAAACAGTTGCGTGACGTAAGTCTAAAATTACATAGTATATTATATTATATTTATACTATATTATGTTTGGTTGCCAACCGTTTACAGACTATCGAGTCGAGATTGAAAATGTCACTGCCCAGTGAATTAGCGCCTGCTCTCAGCGACGGTGTCGTGCTTTGTTATTTGGCAAACCACGTTAAACCGAGATCTGTAGCCAGTATTCACGTGCCTTCTCCCGCAGTTGTGAGTAATAATAATACTTATTATTATACAATAACTACAATAACAATAATAAATGTATTAACTTTAGTAATCACTAAATTCTAATTGTTATTTATGTTATTAAGCCTAAGCTCACAATGGCTCGATGCAGGCGTAACGTGGACAATTTTTTAGAAGCCTGTCGTAAAATTGGAGTGAACGAAGTAAGCATTGATGAGGTCTTGGTATTTTCTTAAATTTAATTTGCAACTTTAACACGTGATTTATTTACAGAAAATGATTTGTTGCGCTGTTGACATTCTCGAAGGAAAAGGAATCGTTCAAGTGGCCATAACTGTGGCTGAACTTTTAAAATTCCACACGCCTAAGTCACCGTCACAGTCCGTACAGGTCCCATCGATGGTCAATGTTTAAACGACATATTAACAATTGAATAACATTTAGATAATAGTCAAAGCGTAATCTGACTGACAAATAGTATGAAGCTCATTATAATAATTTTTTTTTTTTTTACAATAAGTGCTATATTATGACGTATGTTGGCATTATAAAGACTGTTGTATTGTACCTATCAAAAAAAAAAAAAAAATACTGCAAACCCTCCTGGGGTAACACGATTGAGAGGCTGATTTTTTTTTTATTCAAATTATATTTTTTTATAATCAAAACAAAAAGTTACAACGATAAAACGAGCAAAACTTGTATGTAAACCTTAACCCCTGCTTAATATTAATAGTTTTATATCTTAAGATTTAAGACCAAGTATACTGTTTTTACTATATACTTTATGACAATTTTATTTTAGTACGATAAGCATTATAATATTGCATAATCGTTTATTATATCCTAAAATGCCTGTGTTAACAAACTAAGATTTGCCATTCCTAAGAAAAAAATTATTATTATTAAAACGACTGTACTCTATATTATATCTTAATGTAACTAAATTATTAGATTGGAAATGTATGTCATTTAAGTAGTATGAGAGACACACTGGAATACAAAAATTACGTTTTTAAATGTATTTATTATTATTTATTAGTTATTACTCATCTTTAATATTTTTTAAACATCTGGCACTATATATATAACTTATTATAATATGCTATGTATTATATTTTAATAATAATAACCGATCCGACCTAATTGAATGTAATTGTTTCTACAAGTGTGAGAAGTTAGATTAAGTATAAAAGATTAAAATAATAATAACTTCAAAAACAAAAAAATTAAATTAAAACCCGAAATATCAATACAATATTTTTATTTATCCCAAATTTTACTTAACCACATTATTGGAAGTAATATGTCTTAATTGCTAAAAACTTTTACAAATTTTAATTAATGTACACATTTGTATAAAACGTATGTTTTAAATACTACAATGTGTTTGTTTGACTTTCTTATAATGTGAACTTTATTAATCTGGCACACTACTTATTAATATAACTTTTTTTTATGTATAACGTAATTTAATTACTTTAATTAGCAAATATTTATTTTTTACCCATTCTTTTATCGTATATAATAACATAAAACTATGTGTGAACTTGTAACAGCCGTAATGCTTTATATAATTATTATTATAATATTATTCACTATTTATTTATACAGATATAAATAAATAATAATAATCAAATGTAACATTTGTACGTTGAATACTATTTATAATTAGGTTTAAATGAATAAAATTAAAATGTGAATTTTTATGACCAGTAAAATATTTACTTTGTGTAATCAATTAACAACTACATTTTGAGTTTAAATCGGTCAAAGAAATTTGTAAATACCCATGAAGTATGCCGAGAACGGTAAACACACAGCTAACTGACAAATGCGTTCAATTATGGGTTTGACAAATCGAAAATCGATAGGCCTACATTATAATACTATACATAATAATAATCATGTATATGTTTAGTTACTTATGACCTTTAACAACTAACTAGGCCGCAATTTCGAGTTAGGTATATTTTCTATAAATTATAAATTGTAAAGTCATTAACTTCTGGCTTGTATAATAAACAATAACCTATAAGATTATTGAGTGAAATTTCAAGTCGTACGTTTTTCTTTTGTAATTTTTATATGACCGATTTTGGTTAATAATGGAAAATATAATGGGATTTAAAAAAAAAACTTGATACCTAATTGGTAATTGTTTAAATTACGTTTACCTGAAAAACTATGTAAAAATAATAACAAGGTTGTTAAAACTATTTTTAATTGAAATTGTTTTTTTTTCTCGGATTTAAAAATACTATTAATGACTTTTAAGACTATCTAATTTAATCGCGGACGAGTGACGATCAATTTTAAAATTCTTATAAAGTCGTTTTTTATTAAATTTTACATTAATAAGACAATTTTCGTTATTTACCTTTATCGGGCGTCTTCTCTTTTGTTTGTTTCTTAAGTGCCCATTCACGTCATGTGAACTCTATAGTGTCGATAATTACGCCTTAAACACATAAGACAAAACACAACCATATTACGATAGTAATTATGAATTAAATAAGATCTTAAAAAACGTTAACAATGCCTATCCCAAAAAATTCTCTTATATCCTATTGAGTATTGTCCATAGAAAACCTATAGAATATTTTTCCCTTATGTTCTGTATAATAATAATATTCTGTTTTAATGTCATCGTATAATAAGTAACCAACCTAGAATTCCTTAACCGTGAAATACAATTATTTTCATATTCTAGTTGAAAATAGGTTATAGGTTTCTAGTTTCTTATTGGTAATACCGAATACGCCATTTAGCAGTAATTATTATTCGCCTAAAAATTTGGTCACATCGGTATTCGGTTGTAGCCTGAAGGTACGTTGCGAACCAGTTTACAGTATACATGAATACAATTGGTTATGTTGTGTTTGCCTAAGAAGCGGTTGTCCGCCTTATCTCAAACCCGTTATCAGCTACCTGATGGTTTTTTTTAAAAAACAATAACAAATAATCATTTGTCACCTTTGGGCGCGATTTCGTCGGTTATTGGTATACCTATTCGAATATAAATTGTTTGCTATTCATTTTACACATCATCGTCATTAATGGACGTGAATATAGTTATTTCGCTTGAGCTGCACCGGTCACATGACGAATAATTTGCAGGGACCATGTCGCTCCTATCGTGTTTTCGTCGGATGACGTCTTCGGATCAACGGCGGCAAGACGAATTCATCAAAGAAATCGATCTGAACAATTCGGATCTGACCGACGTGCCATTGCAATTGTTCTTGTACGAGAGAACGTTAGAAATACTACTGTTGTCTTCCAATCACGTAAGAACGGCCACCGATGAATTATTGTTGCATAGACTCTCGCAACCGGTTGCCTGTTAGCTGTAAACCCGCAGTAATAATCCCTTGGTAGCCGGTTCAAATTGGTTTGTTCTCTATGAGAAATAAGCAGGCTATATTTTATTGAATATGTATATATATATATATATATATATATTATATTACTTAAATTAACAAAGACAATCGTAAAAAAAAAGTCAAAACAGTGGGGTCAGCGGGTAGGTCAGCGGGTCTTCAGGAACTGTACAACTGTAAAAAATGTATATAAGTAGTTAAAGTTTATCAGTGTAATAAAACGGTTACCTAAGTAATTTTCTAAATTCTATTAGTAGTAGTAGATGTTTGATAAATAATTCAACATAAATGTAGTTTAGTGCTCTACGCCTTATGTATTGCTTAAAATGTACTACAAATTTTTATTTTTATTCGAGTTCCATAATCCATGTATGATAAATTAATTAGGTGTCTCAAAAACAAATTGTAAAAAGTATAAATATCAACTGGTACAATAATGTGTTTGGAATCGTATTTTGTTTTGGTTTTCCTTAATAAATATAATGATAAAAATAAAGTTTGACTTTAGATTTTTTTAAAAATGTGATATTAAATGTTATAGGGTCTTCTATTAAATTTGGAAGTAATCATACTATTTTTCAAAAAGTTATGATATGATAATAATTTTATGTTCATTCTGTAGTTACTGAAAATATAATACGAACAATACTTTCTAGATGTGATTTTGGTTAATGGTTTTTGTGTAGTTTAACTACTACCAGTTGTGTCAAGAATAATGTACATTATTGCAATTATATTTAAATTGAAAATAATTTGTTTATATTTGTTAATGTAAAATGTGCAATGATTTTCAATATCTACTGTGTATTGTGTATGTTCACAGATCAAAGATCTCCCGTTGCCTTTATTCCATTGTGAACAATTAAAAGTATTACACCTCAGTGATAATAAGCTCGATCAACTGCCAAAAGCCATCGGATCTCTAGTCAATCTCATAGAATTGGATGTTAGCCGAAATTGTATGTGTAAATTATAGCCATAAAAATACGCTTGTAATAAAAATGAATAGAGTTGCATAAAAATTGAATGAAATAAACAATTATTCTAAGACTTGTTTGCGATTTGATGTTGCAGATTTAACAACCATTGACGAAAACATTAAAGGATGCAAGAAATTATCAATCCTGAATGTAAGCGTTAACCCATTGTCTCAATTTCCTATTCCCTTAACGCAAATACTATGCTTGCGTGAACTTTGTTTGAACGACACACAACTAGAATTTGTGCCAGCAAACATTGGACGACTGTCGAATCTGCGTGTATTGGAACTAAGGGACAACAAAATATCTAAATTACCCAAAGCCGTATCCCGCCTGACAAAGTTATACAGACTAGATATTGGCCAAAATGATTTTGATAGTTTAGTAAGTTGTCTATTATCTTGACCAATATATATTTATCAATACATTATTTTAATGATAATAATTTTGAGTTGTTATTAATTCTAATAAAATTTCAAAACTTAATGGCCCAATCACACAGTTGTATGTTTGTTATTCTTTACAGCCTTCGATAATTAGTGAACTCAGTGATTTACAAGAACTCTGGATAGATTTCAATGACATTGAAGAAATATCGCTAGTGAGTAATTGCGTTTAACATGTTCAGTTTTTATTTTTTAACTAACCATTTTCATATTTGTTGAAATTTAGGAAATAAGTAATTTGCACAGTTTATGGTATTTTGATGCTAGCTACAACCGGATATGCACAATAGATGAAGACATTCAGTATTGTTCGAAATTAAAAGATTTTCACCTTTCGTTCAACAATTTAAAAGTATTTCATTAAAATATAATAAAACTTTATTGTTATAAAAAAATAATATGTATATTTATATATGTCATTTCAACTATAATTCCAGTGTTTACCTAGTTCTATGAGACATTTACACGAGTTAGTTACAATGAAAATAGACCATAATTCTCTGAAACAAATCAACGGGATTTTTGAAGGTCTTCAGAATCTCGAAGAGCTTGATGCCTCATACAACTTCTTGGAATTTTTACCACCCAGTGTAGGTTTAATGAGAAAACTGACTGTGTTACGGCTGGACGCAAATCGGCTCAACGATGTACCAATAGGTGGGTTCTATTTATTTATACTTCCAAGTTGCGCGGTAAATTTAAATTGATTAATTTCTAGTTTTATCAATGGCCCCAACTAAAATGGTTTGAAATTAAATTATTGCCATAATTTTGTTGTTTGCCACACTTCCTGTTTATTTTGGTTAATTGATTTAATTTTATTTCAGAAATTTGTAGCTGTAGAAATCTGCGAGAGCTCAGCCTCCGCTCCAACAATTTATCTAGCATACCTGACGGAATTGGGAGTTTACAAAACCTTATTATCCTTACATTAACACAAAACCAAATCAAAAGTCTTCCGCTTTCCATTCTCAAACTGACTAAACTGAACGCACTCTGGCTATCGGAAAATCAGAGCAAACCGTTAACTCCGTTGCAAAACGATTTCGATTATGACACTGGACAGCATATCTTAACGTGTTATTTATTGCCGCAAATAGACGACGTCGGTTATTCTGGTAAATTTATTCTTCTGCTACTAAAAAACAAGTATTGTTTTAATTACAGTATAATTTTTTTTTTTTAGAAAATAAACAAGAATCTTTCAAACCGATTCGGACCAACACAAAAATCAGATTTACCTTAGACTGTGATATGGAAGAACCGGGAAATTTAATGCGAGTACCCACACCACATCCAAAAAAGATGCGAGCACTCGCCAAAATGTTTATGGAAAGAAAACAAAATAATGATGAAATAGTAATAAAATAGTATAAATAACTTTTTTTATTTCGATAATATTACATTAAAATATGTTATTAAGGAGACAACAACATCGAACAACAATAACCCTTCACCGATAATGTCCAATGAAGTAGATTACGTAACCAACATTGATCAAGAAGCAGAAAAAATGGAGCAGTTGTATCAAATGAAAAACAATAGTACTATAAAACAAACCGTAAGTTTTATGTAATTTTTTTTTTTTTTTAACAACATGATTATTATGTCTGTATCTTTTTTACAGGAATTATTTTCTCATCCCATCCAAAGCGTGCCAAGAGTTCCTCCGCCCTATCACATTGCAGCTGCATATTCGAAACAAATACCTTTTTTCTATAATAGAAAGTTTACATGACAGTTATTGTACAGACATACATCATTACTACTATTCTTTATCTACTTTGTATCTATTTGTACTTAACAACCCAATACTTACGACTAAACAAATGACATATTTTTATAAAAAGTCTCAGATTAACATTTGAAAAGTGACGCTATAGTGAGATTTTGCGTAATTTGTCTATCAATTTTATTATTTAAATATGTTAACAAAGTTCAAATTAGTTGTGTTAAATTTTAATTGTATGTGTTTATAACATTTTTTTTACAATATATTTTTTTATATATACTACACAAATGTAGCGTACAATTTATTGGGAGGGGGAGCTAGTGGATTGATTATTAACTAATTAAAAAAAAGTTTTTTTAAGGGTCATACAATTTTACAATAGTTTTGAATATTTGCAAAGATGTAAACTATTTTTTAATATTATTCAAACAAAACATTGAAGCAAAAAGCATTGGTTATAGTTGAATATTTTTTATCTACATGTTGTTTTTGTGATTGTAGCAACATGAACCTAACAAAATTTAACTTAAGGATTCTTATAGCATCCTTCATTGTTGACGTATATATTTTAGAGTATCATTTTCAATACTTGTTGTAAAAAATTACGAATATTGTAGTTTTTGAACAAAATAATATGTTTTATGTTAAAAATGAAAAAACGATTAAAATTGTAGAAACTAGCAATAATATTTATTGAGAAAATATACAAACACTCGAGACTAGCTAACTTAAAAATAAATAAATAAATAATATAAAATTAAATGTCATTATGTCGGATATATATAAAATGTCCAATAGCCTGAATGCTGCTAAACAGACATTGTCCAATTCCACCATAAACAAACACTAGTTGTTGAACAAATAGTGTGTTCGTATGAATAAGTATAAAAAGTTGAGTTATATTTAGTAAAAAGCCAAAAAGTTACACATCTAAAAAAAATCTCGCCTACAAAAAAACAAATCTCTAAAAATACAAAAAAGATTAAACAATTCACACAATACATAAAGGTTGGTTTGTTGATAAGACACCAACATTAGTTTTTCTCCTTTCAGTAGAGTTGCTGAACACTGACTGTTATTACGTCCATGTAACGTTCCCAAGCTTTTTTTACCTCGGCCTCTCTAGAAGAAAAAAAAAATTATGTAATAATCATCAATAATTATAGATGTTAGTAAATTAAATTATCGAACTTCGAAGTAAAAACATTGATTCACGTTAAACGATTGTTGAACAAATATTATTATCTTCATTTTTCAGAAAAGTATTTTCTAAAAAATTCGACCACATTGACAATGCAACATAATTATTACTCACTGGAAAATATCCAATTCGATAGCACTAGAAATGTACACTTTTAGGAAATCCATGACCTCGACTTTGCTCCAATTTAACGCTCTCCACGGATCGATGACTCGTTCGACAACTTCAAGAAAATAACCCCTGCAATAATTGTATACAACACAATAATACAACATTCAATAAAATAAACTTTCTTTTTAATGTGGTGCGTTTGTATCGGGTATTTGTGCGCCTCCAAAAAAACGTCTTACCTCATATCTCTATTATGATGAAGGCTGTACGCTATTCCAATAATTGCCCTGCTCAGCATACGAAAGTTTGTTTCCATACTGTTGTAAATTTTTTCAAGAAATTGTTCCTTTAACTTTTGACACACCAAACTGAAAAAGTCGTCCAATTAGAAGTTAGTGTCAAGTGTAAAATTGTTACTATTTTTCTTATTATTTTTTTTTTTTAATCGATAGTTTATCTTTATATGTTATGTCGACGTCGTTGGTGAAGACAAAAATTCAAAATTTTGTTGATATAATTAACCATCTTCAATTCAAATGCAAGACTTATTGTAATAATGCAACATACTGTTTGTGATCTTTTTCTTTGTCCAAAAGGATCCTGACTTCTCGCAGGTCAAGCAAGAACTCTCGATCCAAGTCCAGATCTCCGAATTCTGGGCTATTTTTAGGGTAAGTCCATTTGTTTATAATGCACAGGGTTGGCTCATAGAAGTCAGGAAACGTCAGAGTTTGTAATTTTCTTTTGGAAGTTTCAAAACGCATGCAGGCGATGAATACAATAACCCCATACTTTCTAAATACAGCAAATCAATAAACGTTAACAATAGTATGATTAAATATAATATAGTCTATGTAATAATTAAAAAAAAAAAAGCAACATTGCAGTTACTTGGCTAAATCTTCCGAGAGCAAAAACGTGTTGGAAATATTATGGATGACGGATCCTTGCAATTCCTCTACAGCCTTGAACACTCTCTTGACATTATCAAACTGACGTCTACAGAAACATTTTTGATAAATATTTGTATTAAAAAAATAAAAATTAACAAAAATAATTTGTTGTGCTAGGAAGTGGCATGCTTATGTTTAATAATCCAACCAATACCTATAATCTAAGTTACAACAGACCTGCACGATTTTATGGCAATGCCAGTTTTTTCACTGACTTCGTCCAGGTCTTTACGATGTTTCGACGATAATTTTTTGCCAAGAAATTCTCTGACAACAATGTCGTCGATTTCGTAGTATCTGTAAAACAATAGATTGTTAAAACTATTTCTATGTTCTTCATGTAATTATATTTAAATTGTAAAGTCAATTCAGTACACTTTATGTTCTGTACATAATGATTACGAGATTGATTTAATTGTTACCAGATTGCTATGTTGTGTGCTAACTGTTTGCATTATTACTCGTAGATTTCTAAGAAAACATTTAAAGTCATTCGTTTTAAATAGAGAAACATAAATTGTTTACCAGTTTTTGACGGCCCGCCATAACTTTTTTTTAATAGTCAAATTAGTTCCAAATTTGTATGATGATATTATTTAAATATAGTACTATAAATACACATTGACAAACCAAAAAGTATCAAAAACACTTTCCTTCAATTGGGTTGAAAACGTTTTTTATGTTTCACTTTTTTAGTAGTTTTGGCTTAATTTTAACTACAATCTACAAATTTGCATTTAAGTATTTTTTTTTCTTTATCACTCAGTTATAATCATTCTTACAGTCCTGTAACAATCGACCTCACTATGCTGCCCCGATCCCGTTGTGCTGGCTTTTTTGTATTTTATTTTATAGTTGTAAAAAATTTAATTTGATATTTTAACACGTCCACTATGAATTAATTAATTAGTATGCTAAAAAGATGACAAGTGCAGTGAACATCAATTTAACACAACATCAGCAGTTAATTCATTATAGTTTATGATAAATATAGAATTAATTTTTTGTAATGAATGAATGAAAATATTAATTTAGTTGCTGAAGTGAAATACTGGTTAAAAAATATATGAGGAAATTTGATTTTTAACTACAACAGCATAATTATTATACTTTGGCATCTATAATGAATGCATATTTACATATTTTTAAAAGGTCATGAAGTTCCTACTTAGCGCTACTCATAGCTCAAAAGATCAGCATTTGTATTGCATAACGGAAACAGACCTTCATTTATAGGAGTTTCAATAGGGTCCCAGTAAGCCAGTTTAAGTAAGTGTGCAGTTATACCTACTTTTCGACTAGTATTTTTTTCGTTTGCGGTTCGATCTGGAACGCTAGCTGCTGGTCTAATTTCGTCGGATAATGTATTAACTTCTCCAGCAGACTGTAAGTCCTGTAATGATCCAATATATCGGACGCGACCAAGTCGAGCGTCGTACCCATCTCCTCCAAGATACCATATTGCTTCAGAAAGGTCACCGCTTCGGACGCTGTGAAATGATATCGGGACGGTTGAAAATGACACCGTAAGAACATGCTTAGACCAGAGAGAACTTACCGGAGCACCCGTTCACCCACAAGTGGTAGACGTCCGGGTCGACGATGGTGTAATTGCTTATGAAAACGTCCACTTCGGGGCTCGGAGAGTTCATATTATTGTTCAGCCGACGGTGCGCCCCATTATGAATAAATTATGGGAACAGGAAAAATTGGAATTTGAATTATGTTACCTATTGAATAACATAATAACTGTAGTATGATAGCATAATAACTATACTATCAATGAAATTAGACAATCGGTCGATTAGTGATAAGAATAACGATAGCGTTATCAGCAGCTGTAGCCCAAGGTTGCCAAGGTTAAATTAATGGGAGTTTTAATTATTAAGTATTCTTGTATTAAGTATACTCAGTTGTAACATAAATTAGTAACTATATAACTATTATAATAACTATTCGTATTAAATGTTTGTTCTGTATCTATTTATTATGTATGGACTTATAGTTCCCACATTCTTTCTATACACATATTTTTAATAATATAATTTGAACCCCTTCACAATATAATTTTAGATATGCTTTTATTCAACTTAGTATATTTACTTTTAATTCAACATTATTATATTTTTTGTATTACAAATCAGTCCATATCAATTGCAAAATTTAGCTCTTCATAATCTTGGTAGAAAAACAGTTAGAAAAATGAATAATGAAATTAATAATTGCTCATCTCTGGTAAATTTGTTTCCTATAAGTGAACAAGACATTTAATATGAATTTGAAAACTATCCAGTATTAAATTTGGGAAATGGTATAAAACTAAAGTCAAAATTTACTGTATTTGAAATTGATAACATTTGCATAAAAACAGAAAATTAAATGTTTTTCTGGCAAAGTGTAAGCACTTTATACATATGGTCAACATCCTAAATCAGACAGTTAATGGATCCTAAAAGCCAGTAAATACTTCTGGCCAGAAATGCCAGTAAATGCTTCTAGTAAAAAACTACGTTTTTTGCAAACAAATACATTTTGATTAATGAAAATTGTATTCAAACGTTTAAAACTTTAAAGGTAAGTTTTATTTAAATAAGAAAATGGGTTTTCAACTATGGTAAGACAAATAATAATGTTAAAAATTATGTTTTAAAATAAAATATCCAGTTGTTTTTTTTATATTGGCCAAACCTGTATAGTATGCGCATATTATGAGTTCTTACAAAAATTGTATTTAGCATCAACAGTAAAAGATAACGTATCTTTGTGTAAAAAAAAATAGCCGAGAATCGAAAATAATACAAAGCTAAAAATTACATTATTTATTATAGCTAAAAAAAAATGTTAGTATTATAACGAGAAGTTCCTTACCGAATTGAATTCCCGCCGAAGCCTATCGAAAACAATTAAAATATCTTCAATATTCTTCATAGCCCATTCCATATAATATTTAATCTTTATATTCAACACATTATTTATTTTTAAGTATTTTAATAGAGAAACTTTTATCTCAATCACAAAGTATATTAGTCATAATGTCATTATTAGTCACAATGCTAAATTATTTTTAAACATGTGGCGAATATTATTGCGTCAAAATTTAAAATACAGGAATATTTTTAATTCATTTTTTTTTTCATTGTAATGGACTGCTCTAAAGTTGTATTGTATATTTTATAAATATGCACAACCAACTATTTTACCCACGAACCGCCAATGATGATGAACTAAAAACATTCATGACTTGATATATTGTCGTTAGTTATTAAACCGCATAAGTTATTGAGTGGTTCACAATGGAATGATCACCCTGTACATACCGTACAAAAGACTATTTAAAACAAAAATTGTTCAAATATATTTGATAAATCATATAACGCACCAGGCGATGTTATGCGAGCCACATATGTTTCGAAACATTGTTATTGACTGCTGTAAAGTTTTATTGTATATTTTATAAATATGCAAAACCAACAATTTTACCCACGAGCCGCCAATGACCATATTTATATACTTGTATTATACTATACAGGGTGATCATTTTATCGTTACCTGCTCAATATCTCACAGGGTTTATTGGTAAAAATTGTTTTTTTTCCTTATTGTTTTTATACAATGTGATCTCAATTTATCACAACTTTTATTGTTTTTACCGCCTCCCAACCATTTTTTGATTACATTTAAAGATTAAAGATTTGCAGGCCAACAATCCAGCCAGTCAACCGCAGGCTTTGATGGCGGTCAATTTATATTTGAACAACCTTTCTGGATTGTTAATGGTAAAACCAATCGCAGAGGAGTACACAAGTATGGGAATTCGCCGTGACACACGGGTATGCCAATTGACGATCCATTGTGTATTGAACGCATTATTCGAATCTATAACCAAAAGTCTTTCGATAAATTGTCCTAAATGGTCACCTACCGAATCGCTGGGTTCGGATTTGGACCAACTCAAAAGTTTGTTATCAAGAAGTTGGCCTATAAACACGGTTGGAAATATAAATAAACGCGAAAATTTGTTATTAGCAATCGACCAAATACAAGATAGTGCGTTGCAGATTAAAAACTATATGAAGGTTAAACAAAAAACCGAAAACCATCAAGAGTCGTTTTTACATTTGAATCCTAGAAACGCGTTGTTCTACGACCTCCTAGGCGGAGGCGACCAAAAAGAAAGTACTACATCCCCTAGTGACGAGGATGGCTTAGACTTACTTCGAAACGTTCAAGTAACCTCACCTGTCTCAGCCGAAAAAAAGGCAACCATGAAATCATTATGGAGATGGCAATTTGTCTTCGATACCAAATGCTTGGAATCGTTTCAACGACAAGTTTTGACCGCCACGGCCCTTCCTGTGTTATTATAATAATTTATTGTTATTTGAGGCGCTCAGAAGCCAAACTGATTAACTCCATAAAACAAAAATTTTTCAGGACAGGCAGTTAAAGTTATTTGAAACAACGTATGTATTGCCAATTTTCTTAGCGCACTCTAGTGGTGAAAAATTCAACTATGGAGTAGTTTATCTTGGCCATTGAATATTTTACACTTTTTTAATCCAACCACGTTATTATTATCAATTTGAAAAAAGTGGAGTTGATCGGTTTGGCATCTGAGCGCCTCATTTATCAGTAGCTAAAACAAATTAAAAATTAAAAATAAGGGGAAACTCACTTTCAAAGTCTCCCCTGACGAGCCCCCGATGGAGAGATATAATTTGGTTGGTAGGCTCTGTTCGTATGGCATGAGGTAAATAAGAATTTAGATTACTCGGTGTTGTTTTCACGGTTTCCCATGCAAAGGTCAACAGCTCGGTAGCCCTCCTTCAATTCTAGCACGGTTTACGGTAAAATTAAGCAAACATTATCTCTCAATGTAGTTGAACAGCTATTTCGTACAACGTTTAAGTACACGGTATGTATGCATAACGTATTAGTCGTATATGTAACGGTACACGACTCTTTCGATTGTTCCGCTCCATCTGATTGGGTTAGGTTAGGTATACATAATAATATGATCATTAGAATAACCGTTGTACCGTACACACTTCAATCATTGCATTTGTACACTTTAACGAGCCCCGCGTGTACTTACACACAAGAAATGCCGGTAGTCAGCTTTAAGTATACCTGTATAGCTTAAATAATATTTTATATTCCATATGGTAAACCTAGCACTTGACGACTAAAGGTTTCCGCCATTGATTTATCGTTTCATCTCCGCCGCCGTAGTGTATTTATCTCAATGTATGGAACGTGTATTGCCTGAAGTCGGCTGTCATTTTGGGAACCATTATTGTTTTGTCCATGATATTTATCGTTTTTTCTATGATTTATCGAATACAGAGTGAGTTTATTTTTATCACGGTGCAAATGAAATTTAATTTACTGCATTTTTCCAAACGCTAGGAGACCGATTCATTGCTGGTGGTGGCTACAATGCCAAGCACTCTCACTGGGGATCAAAACTGATCACTCCGAAAGGGCGTGCTCTACTAAAAGTAGCTAACACTATAAACGCTGAAATAATTTCTGTTAGAGAGCCAACCTACTGGCCAACCGATTCTAAGAAAATCCCCGACCTGCTTGACTTCTTCGTAATTAAAGACATCTCCTCTAATTATGTTGAAGCTGAAGGACTAACAGAGCTAACGTCCGACCACATCCCTGTGTTATTATTGTTAAGCTCAAATGTCATTATGAAAAAACGAAAATATTTTCTAACAAACAAATACACAGACTGGGACCTGTTTAGAAATACTCTGGAAGAAGCTATCACTCTTTCTGTGCGGTTAAAGTCGTCAACAGACATTGAAATGGTAGTACATAAACTGACTAATGACATTGTTGAAGCGGCAAAAACGGCAACACCTGAAGCTCAAAAAGGCAACGACCGCGAGTTTAACTACCCGAAAGAAATCAGAGAGCTTTTTCAACAAAAGCGGCGAGCAAGACGAATTTGGCACAGAACTCGACACCCATCCGATAAAATCGAATGGAACCGAGTCAGCAAAATACTACATGATAAAATCAAAGAATTGAAAAATGAAACATTTAAATCGTATTTGTGTGGCTTATCTGCAACAGCCGATTCCGATTACTCGTTATGGAAAGCCACAAGACGATTAAAAAGACCTCGCATTCATATACCACCCATCCGAAAGGAAGATGGCACTTGGGCGCGCAGAGAACAAGATAAAGCTGAAGTATACGGACATCATCTCGAACGTGTATTTCAGCCAAACGACATAATTTCTGAACTTGACAGCATCCAATGTCAGCCACTCATTTCTACAAGAGAAATCATACGCCACTTTACATCACTTGAAGTAGCCCATGAAATCGATACCAACATCAACACGAAAAAGGCACCTGGATACGATGAGATCAGCCCGCGCATCCTTAAAGAGCTACCTAAGAAAGCAATCATCCACCTTACTCACATCTTCAACGCCATCTTGCGAACGAAATTTGTTCCCGAGCAATGGAAAAGAGCGGAGGTAATTATGTTGCTCAAACCTGGGAAACCGCCCGAACAAGCCACCTCTTATCGGCCAATATCGCTTCTGTCATGCATGTCAAAACTATTCGAAAAACTTCTTCTTAAGCATCTTAGCCCACTTATTGAAGCAAAACAACTCATACCAGATCACCAGTTTGGACTCCGCCATAAACACTTGACCATCGACCAAGTTCATCGCGTAACGGACGTGATCAGTAAGGCGTTGAAAGAGAAAAATTACTGCTGTGGTG